CAGTGCTATTATAGCAAAGTGTAAAAATTGACAAAATATACACTAATATAGTGCGAAATTTATAAAAAATGATACCGAAACCAATTAACAGAATATGTCAAAGTCTGTGAAAAAATATATTTTAGAAATGTATGGAATTTAAATCATAATAATCATATAAACAAAGAATAGGATTCATATATATACGAAATGGAATAAAACAACAATAGTATATACAATTTAAAATTTCAGGTGGCAGGTGGGTAACCAGCGCACTATATGAAGTAACAGATATTACAAAGACAGATGGGGCCAACCCAGGAATGAACCAACCTCCTGAATTCTTTGAAGTTTTCAACTTTTCCGAAGTTATTGGGGCGGCCTAAAAGGCCCGATTTTTGTCCATACTTCACAGTGCTGACCCGTGGCACGTTTGCAGTATTTTCTTACCTGAAGTGATAATTAGAAATCTAAATATTTACAAGGTTATGATTATACCCAGGAGGTGTTTTCTTTATGATTTTAAAAAAACCTCACAACCCATATCCTTCAGACGCCTTACATATAGCCTATCGCTGTTGGTAATACTCAGTAAGTTCTTGAAGGATGAGTTGTGATCATTATGTATAAACCTTAAAGCTCGTTCTTGTATCTTTTCTAGCTTTCTGATACTCTTTGTGGAACTGGAGTGCCAGACTAAAGGACAGTAGCTAAAATTTGAAACAATAAAAGAATCATTAATTACAAGTCTACCTTTTTTGGTTAAAAAAAAATCCCATTTCGTTTAAAATTAACACTTGCCTTGAGGCTTTCCTATAAAGGGAAGGTTTCCCCAAACTGGCCCCTCCTTTGCTTTCAATTTTCTTTTGGTGAGGTGAAGAACTAGACATGTTCACAACAAAAACACCAGCCAAAATTCAAATGAGCACTTTTTCGTAGGAGCGTAAAACTGAAATTCTCAAAAAGTCAGAGTTTTTTTCCCAAAAGACAAATTTTGTCAAACTAATAATGCATTTAAGGATAGTTTTAATGCAATCAAAACTAGGGATCATATGCTACAGTATATATGTAAAAGTCTCTTGCTATTCCGTCTTTGCGTATTGCAGAGGTATCTTCTCTTGTGAGCAGGTATTGATTGTTACGCCATTGGTTTGTGTGAGAAAATTACGTCGTTTTCTCAAAAATTGATGACGTTACTCTCACAAACAAGAGACGTAACAATCAATACCTGCTCCCAAGAGAAGATAACTCTGCAATACGCAAAGACGGAATAGAAGGACTAGGTCATGAACTCCCAGTGACAAAAATATCAATCCAAAATATGTGGTGGAACATATTCAAAGAAGGGATGAAATGGTCTATACATCAGAATTCATGGCTATGTGTATAGTCTTATCATTTTGACTGAAAACTGACAGAAAAGAAGAAAATATTTGTTCCAGTTTAGATGGAATGAATATTTAATCAACAGACGCTTCTTCCGGGCACCGCAAGAATTGTCTGAAGCTTATTAACAGCACTTTCTTTTAACATAAATATATATACCATCTATTAAGGCTGTCACTTTGTCCGCAGAGAGTGATTCTGATAATAAGGTATTGTGTGAAAGTAAATGTCCCCTACCCAAATGATCAGGACCATTACTTCAATGCAATACAGTGTGTAAACTGTTTATTACTGTAAGGAGAGGAACACTGGACATATATAGATTTAGTCAATGCTTGTACCACAGAATGAAAGGTTTTTGAAATACTAGGCAGGTGAATGCCAAAAAGAGCGTAACACTTCATTACAAGAGATATCAGTTTTCATCTTAACCCAAAACAGTAAAAAAAGCATTTTGTGTAGTTTTTGTATATACTGAAGAAGAAAAAATGGGACCAAGTACGTATGGATTTTGAGAAACTGTTCTTTGGCAAACGTGTCCAAGCATTGCAGCAAGGGTCATCCAAGAGACAAAATTCAGAGTGAAGGCACTTCTAAACGGTCATCAATCAGATGGCCTACTTCATAATTGAGAATTCGAAGACGCTCTTCCTTGTAGGATAGAGGATAACCTGTTTACAAGGGTTCAGGTCATTGTCCAATAAGATGAAATGAGCATACACGTGGTGACGCAGAGCAATTTTTTAACGGTTGTCTGGCACGTTTTTGCAGAAGTGTAGATCTGCTTTCCTTCCCTCCCTTGTTAAAACAAAGACAACAGTTTTTATGTGAACAAGACCCGTAGAAGCAGGTCATTGATTGTTAAGAGAGGAAAACTTCTAGTAATTTCATCTTCAAAACGTTCTGTTTCAGATTCTCTTTTGCGCAGATTTGCCACTTTTAGTCAGTATATCTAAAAGCCATATATACTATGGATTTGTTTACATTCCGTGTACCTTACCATTAACGGGACTTAGCGAAGATACGATAGCGACCTTCACCAATACATTAACAAATAAGTATGAAATATCCCCTAAAAGCAATGTAAAAACGATATATGATGACAAAGGTGATAACAAAATGAATAAGAACAAAATCTAAAAAGTGACAAGGATATCACATTTGATCTCTAAATTGATTGTTAACAAAAACTTTATCAATCACGCCAAGTGATGAAGCAAACTTGAATTTGAATTGTTTGTGACCTAACATGCACAAAAGGTTTTACCAATGACGTGATGGACGCCATGGAGGTGTCTTAGGCCCTCACCTTTTTGGGTACAAATGGTACTTTGTTGTGCGAGATGAATACTGTCCACCAGTTCTTTTGGACTGAATTTTTGCCAACATATTTAAAATAACTTCTTCAAGCTATATAAAAAATTCGGTATACAAGATTAATAAGAATGAAACATCCAATATTTTACATTGAAATTTTCACAATATGTTCGATTAGACTCACATTCTGGATGATAAATATATTATTAAAGCACTACATGAAAGAAAATTTTCTTTCCCAAGTATTACGATGCATAAAATACGGTTTTTTTAAAGAAAAATACTTTCAGGCTGATATTCCATTTTTCGACCCCCATGCTGTAATTAGTTTAATTACTCATCTAAATAATTAGTAGAGCTATTCAAAGTAATAGCTCCAAATATATAATGGAGTGAAGAAAAAAAAGTTTAAACAGCAGCATAAATCGCGTAGCACTACTGAAACAAAAGTTATGAGGGGGCAGGCTCCTATGTAATTTTAACATAGCTGGAAATAGTCCCTTCAGCAGCTTCCTGTCTGTTTCCCTCTCTCAATGCATATAAAGATGTGTCGTCAGCGAAAAGCTTGACATTAGAGATTAAATTTTCTCAAAAATCATTTATGTACATTAGAAATAAATATGGTCCTAACACTTACCCCTGTGGTACCCCCGCCTTTAACGTTTTCCAGTTAGATTTAAATTCATCCGAGACCATAGCTCTATCTCCTATCATTAAGGGGGGTTATCTCCCTTCCTTTACCTTTACTCCATGTATGTGAATGATTTTGAAAATGAACTTATTAATACTTCCAGTGACGCTTTATTCTTAAGAGATATTTCCCTGTTTCTTCTTATGTATTCAGATGATACTGTCCTTTTCTCATAATCTGCCTCTGGCTTGCAGAAAATGTTAGACTTCTTAAAACAATATAGCGACAAATGGCAATTGACAGTCAATATGGAAAAAACTAAAATTATTGTATTTCGTAATGGCGGAAGATTACGAGCTGGCGATTTTTTTTTTCTTTAATGGCAATGAAATAGAAATTGTTGATAGATTTAATTACCTTGGTCTACTGTTCAGCTTTAATGGTATGTTTACAAAAACTCAAGTTACTATTGCTGAACAAGGTCGTAAATGTATGTATAATGCGTTAAGAATTTGTAACAATTTGTCCCTCAATGTAGAATCTAAACTTACTGTTTTTGATGTCTATGTTTCCTCCACTCTTAATTACGGTTGCGAAAAATGGGGTTTCAATATTGCGGACAAAGTTGAAAAAGTGCATGTTGAGGTTTTTTAGAAAGAATTCTGAATGTAAAAAACAGTACGCCATCTTTTATGGTATATTCGGAATTAGGACGTCTGCCTTTGCATATCATCAAGAAGTGTCGAATAATCAAATATTGGTTGAAACTAATTAAATGCGACAATTGTGTTCTTAAGTCAGTTTATGAATACAAGGATGAATGTAATCACAGAAACTGTAATAGGCGTTGTCAAGTTAGAAAATTATTATTGTCTTCTGGTTTTGGTAATGTCTGGTTTACTCATTATGTTGATAATGAAAGGGTATTTTTACATTGTTTCAAGCAGCGTTTGACAGATGTTTTTATTCAAACAGGGAATGAATTTGTTGAAAGATCATCCAAATGTTATTTGTATAAATTCCTGATAGATAGCTTTTCATTACAATTTTATCTAACAACGTCTATTCCAGATGCGTATCTTAAACTCATTTCGAAATTACGACTTTCATCGCATCAGTTATATGACATGTAGAAGAAGGTCGGTATCGTAATATTCCGAGGGCGAATAGGTTATGTCGTTATTGTAATCAAAACCAGGTAGAGGACGAGTTCCATTTTGTTCTGATTTGTCCACTCCATGTTGATATTCGTAAAAAGTTCATTAAAAAGTATTACTGGAGCCGCCCTTCTTCATATAATTTTGTCCAGATGCTATATGTACGTAACAGAAAAGTGCAATCAAGTTGGTTAGAACGGTCTAGATTCCAACCTTAGGTTATTGTGTTTTTTCTCACACTGACTGATAACATGTGGGGGCAGGCTCCTATGGTTAGATAAAAACTTTCAAAAATCGCTACTGAGTTTTGGAGATGATGAATTCAGGTTTTATCTCATGGTGTGAAATAAGTTAACCTTTTTCAATTACAATTATTTGCTTGATCACCTATTGAAAAATCTTAATTAATCTAGTCAGAGACGTATATAACACATTATACGTCTCTGATCTAGTTGATCATTATCTGCTTGAAAAATAATCTATTTATAGAACGTGATTCCCAGTACCGGAAGTGGAATAGGAAAATCCCCGGAAGTTGATAAATAGAGTTGCATGCGAGTATTTCGACCTTATTTCATCAGTGGAGTTGTGTCACTACCGGAGTATAAGTAAGTTTCTTACATTGTATGCCATAACTAGAATGCATACATTTGGGGAATATATATAGCTTGCGACAAAAAAAAAATGAAAACTAGCCTATATATTCACTGACGTTGATAATAATAATATTTATTCGGTAAAAGCAAGTTACAGGTACAAATATCACATATGATCACAGATTTCAATTGCATAATAATCACAGATTTATCACAGTATTTAGATTATCACATCAAAGTTAATATCACAAATTTTGGAGCACTATAAATGCAATGTATCTGTTTGACTAAGCTTTAACCTAGGATATCCCATGAAAGCTGGGTGGCAGCTTATTTCCAATGGGGTCCTCTAGTATAGATCTTAATTACTTAGATAACAAAAGGTCCTAAGGATTTGACCTTATAATAAGAATATAAGATGGTATAATTTCTCGTAATAATATATATATGAATAGAATAAGTTGTAATTGGTCAAATATGATGATGATATATTATTTCATCAAAATCTTGATCTTGATAGGTATATAGTGACACATCCAAGGATATTATTACACCGCGCGTGCGTCAAGTACTTTACTTAAGTGGGACCCCCCTTACGATATCACTGAAAGCTTTAGCTGGTTCTTTAGCTGTTTTGATTTTGGTGAAAATATCCGGTGGTAGTAGGTTCCAATCTTTAATTGTGTTTGGTATGAAGCTGAATTTTAAAATGTCTGACTTTGTTTGCAATCTCAGGTAATGTTGGCTATGCATGTTCTTGGTCGTCCTAGATGGTTCTTTCAATTGATCAGATGGTAAGTTGGCTTGACCGTGTATGCCTTTACAGAAGAGGATAAGTCTGTTTTGAGTTCGGCGATCTTTTAGGGATGGTACGTAGTTGCAGCTGGTCTAAAATTGCTGTCATATACTACCTTGGTCGTAGTTGTAGTTTGATGTTTGCCGCTCTTTTTTGTACATTTTCCAGCTGATCTTGAAGATATATTTGGTGTGGGTCCCAGGCAGTGCTCGCATATTCGAGGACAGGTCGTATGAGTCCTTTATATGCCTGGAGTTTAACTTCAAGTGGACATGATTGAAGATTTCTTTTCAATAATCCTAATGTCCTGTAAGATTTGTTGCATATCTTATCTATGTGTTTTCCCCAGTGTAGGTCATTGGTAATGTTGACTCCTAGGTATTTGATAGATGTTAAGAATTGGAGTTTGGTATCTTTTAATGTATATTCGAATGATGTTGTCTTCTTCTTGCGGCTCAATGTCATCATGTTGCATTTAATTGGTTGAAATCTCATACCCCAATTATTAGCCCAGTTACCAAGAGTGTCAATATCTTTCTGTAGTTCTGCACAGTCATCTTCGTTTTTTATTTCTCTGTAGCATACACAGTCGTCTGCGAACAGCCTAATTTCNGGTGGTTGGGCAATCCCTACCAACCTATTATCTGTCTAACAAATTATAGCAATTTGGGGTATAATACATATATAAAAATGACTTTTAATAAAATAAAGACTGAGGATGATGGTAATAAAATCTTCCATAACATTTATAAAAAGTACATATTATATTGGTACTTTAGTTAAAATTTTGGTAATACATCATATATTTTTAGAAGAAGTTTAGAGTCACCCACTGGGATAGAATAAAAATTACCTTTAGAAGACAAATTCTTGCTCAAAATCATTTTTTGCCAAAACTTGTAAGTACTTTTTTATCTCGCTTTTGAATTTCATCTTGTGATCGACAGATTTTATTGAATGTGGTAAATTATTCCAATCTCTTTTTCTAACCTACCTGCAAAATGGTGAACATTCCGAAGTCACGGAAGACCTTTTGCAAGGGTAAAAAGTGCAAGAAGCATACCCTCCACAAAGTTACCCAGTACAAGACTGGAAGGGCTTCTCTTTATGCCCAAGGAAAGAAAAGATACGACAGAAAACAAAGTGGATATGGAGGTCAGACCAAGCCTATTTTCCGAAAGAAGGCCAAGACCACAAAAAAGATCACACTGCGTATGGAATGTACATCGTGCAAGTACAGGAAACAGTTGTCACTAAAACGTTGCAAACACTTTGAGTTTGGAGGTGACAAGAAGAGGAAGGGCCAGATGATCATGTTCTAAAGGAGCAGTTCCCAAAGCCATCACTTTTTCTTGTAAATAAATTATTGGGCAGAAAAAAAAAAAAGTTATTCCAATCTTTGATAGCATTATAGAAAAAAGATGATGATTCCACACCTTTTATATAAGGAATGTTGAAATTCAGATCACTGTTCCTGGTAAAGTGTTTTTTCTCTGTTCTAGTAAAATTTTCTTTCATATAGGATGGACATTTGTTATGTTGAATGTTAAAGACATGGTTAAAACGAAGCTGTTTCACCCTGCCCCTAACATCCAACATATTAGCTTGTTCCAATTCCCGATGGGTGACTCTTGATCTATTATCAAGTTTCAGAATAAATCTGACCACTTTATTCTGTGTAATTTGGAGTTTTTGTCGAAGTTTTTTGGATATGTTTTCGAACCAGCAGCTAGAAGCATAGTCAAAATTACATTGGATCAGTGCCGACACCAGGGTTTTTCTAGATCTAAAATTGAGACAGTCACAGTGTCTATATAGAAACCACAATTTCTGGTTCACTTTTTTTATAATACTTTTGTTCTCCAGATAGAAAGTTGTCCAATATAATACCAAGATATTTGACACACACCTGAGGCATAATTATATTACCGTAACACAAAACAGAAAATGAGCCTTCAGGTAATTTGGAAAGTTTCCTTTTGGGGCCAAACAAAATACTCTCTGTTTTTCCAAGATGTAAGGATAATTTGTTATCTGTTAGCCAATCGTGACATGACTCTAAGTTTTTCGATAGAAATTTTGAAATAATTTTTGGGTCTTTGTGCGAGAAGATAATTGCACTGTCATCTGCGTACAGAAATAATTTGCATCCTGGGTCAATACTGATCCGCATGTCATTTACATAAATGAGAAAAAGAAGCGGTCCCAATAAACTCCCTTGGGGTACCCCGCATGTTATATTACAAATATCCGAGTTCACATTATTGATATTGACTAATTGTTTTCTGTTGGTAAGGTATGATGTGAACCACTCCACCGACTCAATGCCAATTACACCAAGTTTATCACACAAAATCCCATGGTCAACTGTATCAAAGGCCTTCTGTAGGTCTAGTAAAACCATTCCAGTGAAGAGACCTTTAGACGTCTGGGACTTTATGTGATCAACCAGGTGAATTAAACAGGAGTCAGTGGAATAGGATTTTCTAAAACCAGATTGGAACTCATACAAAATGTTGTTATCAATCAAAAATTGTTCCAGTTGTTTATAAATTGCTTTTTCTAGGATTTTTGAAACAATACTCATAATACTACCAGGTCTGTAATTTTCAGCCTTCAATTTATCTTTTTTCTTGAATAGTGGTTTTACCTTTGCAATCTTGAGATCATCTTGTACAACATTTTCAGATATGGACTTATTTATTAAAAATCTTACAGGCACCTTGATTACTGATGCAGCATCTTTCAGAAAACGAGCTGGAATACAATCTAGACCAGTACTTTTAGTGATATTGAGATTACAAAGTTCCTTAATTACAAAATTTTCAGAAACATGTTTGAGGTGAAATTTGTTTTGTTTTGGATTTCTCTTAATGTAGAAAGAATTTATTAAAGTTTGTGAGGTTTTGAATAAGCCTTTACATGGAGGAAGGCCTTCAACAATTTTGGATTGAGAATATATATAGGCTAGTTTTCATTTTTTTGTGTGACAGAGCCAGAAGGGTTTGGTTCACTGCTGCTAGACAGCATATAGACAACAGGATGACAAGTGCTCCACAGGCATTTGTTTCTGTTAATAAAAATAGTCATGAGAAAAAAATCGCACTCTACTTTATGAGTAATTTTTTTTTCTCTCATGACTATATTTTTATTGTCAGAAACAAATGCCTGTGAGGTGCTCGCATGGAAGAACCAGATGGTCTTGGCACAGGTACTAGCCTCATATAAAATGATATGTGTATTGACAGACGAGGCTAGTACCTTTGGTCTTGAAATGTTGAGGAGAAACTAATTCCTGTAGGAACTCTAACTAAATCAGAGATTTATAACGATAGAACTCTATCTTTATAAATCTCTGATTTAGTAGAGTTCCTACAGAAATTAGGGAGAAACAACCTTTGGCCAGAGACGTATATAACTACAGAGATTGAAAACTGCCTCTTTCTCATATGGAAGCGCACCTGTGTCGGGTTGTCTATTTGGATGAAATCAATTTCATTGCAACGGCCTATGACATCGTTAGAGGATTTCCGAAATGCAAATTACGGGGGCCATTACTCGTCATCGAATAATTAGTATGTTAAATTTAGATCTTTCTTAGAAGACCTTTTTCGACATAATTTGATAATCAATATTTTATACTGTTGTCCTTAATTTAGAAGTCCATCTTAATACTGAAATAGATGTTTATAAATTTAAGAAATCCATGGGTAAAGTACGCACATCGTGATATGAGGGCGACATACAAATTATTATTGTTACCCTACAGTAGACGAGTTCAGGTATGAATTTGGTAGTGTATGTCAATATGTCTTGAACCTTTATCTAGAATTTTGATTAGCCAGAGGAGTAAGATTACAATTAATAGCACCGACCCCCTAAGGCTTTTACCCATATCCGCACCTGCCTCAATTAGTTCGGCTACCATAAGAACTGTTGCGTTCCGTAAATTGTCTACGATATTTATAAAACTTGTAATTATAAAACAAATTTATAACGAAAGCTGATACTGCCTATATGGGCGACTACAGCCCAAGTCTCGCGACGGATCTCCGAGAACAATAGGCTCAAGCGTGCGTTAGCGAGATCTGCGCGAGTTGCCAATCTCTGGCTTTATATGTCTCTGCTTGGGCCAACTGGATTTGGGGCGAAACGACCCATGAAGTTAACAGCATTTAAGGGCAAAACAACCGAATCCCTGACACTGTAACGTGTTATACAGTGTTTGCTTTAATTAACCTTTGTTAACATAATCGAGTACACTGTCAAAGAAACAGTATCAGTGATTCTTATGAAACTCTTTTTCAGGCGAGTTCTTAATATCTTATTCAAAATTTTGATGAGGCCAAAAAGCAAAGTACATGCACTTATGATTCCGCAAGATATGAAGGTAGACAATTGTTTTTTTATTTTAGAAATTATTCTTACTTGTAATGCTTATAGAGAGCAAGAGTTCTGACTTGAACAGTGCATAATCACTAAATGCCAACAAAAACTTAAGGGTATAGGCACGAAATTCTAGGGTAATCATAGGGATGTATAGCGGAAACACAATTTGTTTTAATTTTGCTTCAGTCCTGTTACAACATGTGTGTAAGACTAATAGTCGGTCCTCAAAAGTCCCACAGGAAAAGCATAAGCCCAGAACTCAAATGTCCCAAAAGTCACCGACTATAACCTGGGCTAAAAATAGTATAAGGTAGCTATAAGGGTAACCTGAAACAAACAACTTGTTTTATTTGGCCTTAGACAAAAATGTTCTAAAACATAATGACATTTACATATATCTTTCCATTTTCAGTAAATGGCAGAAAAGGACCCAGTAAAAGTGCTAAAGGATGAAGTTCCTCTTTCCCCAAAGGTCAAAGTTCATTCTACAGACAAAGACCAATCTCAGCAACAAGGAAGTTCAAAAAAGAAAGATAAAAAGAAAGACAAAAAACCTTTGTCACCACGGAATGGCAACAAAGGTCAAGGTCAGACAGACAAAGGTCAAGGCCATCCAGACAAAAGTCAAACTCAAGTACCTGTAGACAAAGGTAAAGACCAAAGTGATAAAGGTCAGGGTCAATCAGAGGATGGAACTCCACAAAAATCAAAGGCAGAACTAAAAGCAGAAAGAAGGGCTATACAGGTAATGCAAATTGTAAGATTCTTTAATGCCCAGGGGTGTAGGATTTGGAAATTACACCCGAGTGGTTTACAAATGTGGTAAAACCTGAGGTATGCCAATGGTAGAATTTCCCCATCCTACACCTTTGGGCATGAAAGAGTATTTTTCTTTCATTCCAACTACCAGAATAAGCTCAGATACTATGAAAAAAATCTTTTGGGCTGGCGACCATTTTGAAAATGTCAATTTTCCCCTGAACTATTTTGACGAAAACGAATCTGTCAGCGAGATAAGGCATACCCCATATTTGCAAACAGAACAAGTTTGTACAGAAAAAAAAATCTCATCTTTCTAACGTGTACGGTAAATATATTGTAAAAGGTTTTAATTGCATCACATCACCTTTTCCGCATTGCGGCATCAGAGTTTTCCAAATTCATGATGTCACGTCGTTGGTGAGGCATTGTGACGTCACACGAAATGGGTTTAAGATAGAAATTTCTTTCACTCCTTTCTTACCCTGGGCAGCTCTATCTACATGCACGGAAATGAGAGAAATATGTTCTTTCTCAGATTGATGCAAAATACACCTAGATTCTGATGTCGGTGTATTCTATTTATGCAAGGAAGTTAGATGGGGCCAATTTTTTGACATCAAGAGTTTTCAACCCTTTTTGTATATATACATGTACTGTCGTCGGGTGTGGCATTTTTACTAGTTAGTTCTAAACCCCTAAAATATCTGATATTACTCTAAACGCATCAGTTTGTGTTCAATCATACCAACTTTAATTTTACAAATTCTTTGATCCCTTTGTACTACACCAAAGCTAGTAGATTTGTATGCAAGGGCCTAGAAAAATTTGAATATCATCTTCTAAAAGTAGCAGATTTTTATTTCAAAATGTTCATGCAGGTATCCTTTGATATTATTAATAATGAAGTTCCTAATTCTATTGATGTAAGGAAGCACAGAGAGCAGCAAAACTAGCAGCAAAATCTGCTTCAACAGGAAAGGACGGTGGCCAGGCAGTATCAGGTGAGAATGACATCCTGTCAAAAACAAATCAGCCCTGATGTGAAAACATGAAAGCCATTGGTCAAGTTCATTCGCCCTTGAAATCACATTTGAACTCTTCCAATTCAAAGGTTGGAATAGTTCATTATGAAATTTTAGGGGTGAATGAGTTAAAACCCTATTCAACTTATTTGTGCCATTTCCTTTATAAGCACCTCCTATATGGTTGTTCAAGTGTTCCATCATTTAACCATAATTAAGCAACGTCTTTGAAAAAAATGAGTTTATTTTGGTTTTTATCGAAGAATTTTGGAAGAATCTTAAGGCATTTCCAAATTGTGAAGTGCTCATGTCGGTGCTTAAAATTACTTAGGTCAAATATGTTGAACATTTGTATTACAAGAGGAAACATGATTTAAAGAAGGAATAACCAGTGCTACAGGTGTATTTTCAAGACATTTTATATTAATTTAAAAAATTGTTTGACTTCTCATGAAATTTTGTTGCTGAAATTCATCCATTCTGAATGAAAGTAAGGTTCTTTTCATAAAAATGCCTATATATCATTTCCAATTTTAAAAAAACCGAGATGAATTGCAAAAATGGATAAAGAGTGTTGTAGCATATAAAAAATCAGTTTTGTTATACTAAGAAATTTCTTGGTTTGGTTTAAATACCATGATTCAATATTCCCAATTTAAAAGCCACTGACCCCATTTCCAAAATAGTGCGAGAGTGGGTTTTTTAAGAGTTGTATTTCATGAATAGCGGTATTTTTCTACCAATATACTTTCCCAATAGCAACGCCACCCCCTGTCACAAAGAAGGAACCAAAACGAGTGCCAGACCACCTCAAGGCGGATGATGCAGAAATCCAAAAAAAGCTCGCCAAGAAATTGGAAAAACAACAGATACCACAGAGGACTTCTACGCAGCGCAAAGTCCGACTTTTCAATCATCTACATCAATATGAACGCCAGTCGTCCTTAACAAACTCCCTCAAGTAAGTTCAGAAATAATATTTATCTGATCCTCCAAAATATTTAAGAAATCAAGAGTAAGGATGATTCTAGTTTCTTTATGAAAACTGTATACCAGGAAATTTTCACCAAATGTTAACTTTAGCCTTTTTTGCCCTCCATAATAATAAGCAAATTTAGCAATTCAAAGGGTTGGAATAGTTCATTATTAAATCTTTGGGGGATATATGCCACACCCCTCTGAGTGAGGGTGGGTGTTCATTTCACTTTCTAACAGACAATAGCTTATTTTGTTAAGTATTGTTCAATTTCGAAATTACGTTGATTGTTCAATTCAGAAATTTTACGTTACTGCCTTGATTTTTTCAACAGATTTTCTACCAGTAGTAGTATCCATCCTGCTATAGTCAAACTGGGTGTCCAGTACGCCGAGGGAATCATCACCGGATCCAACGCCCGATGTCTCGCCATGTTAGCTGCGTTTAAACAGGTGACGTGTGGCAATCTGTAGACTGGTGATAGGCAACTGGTTTAAAATAATTATTGATACCGTAAAAACCTGTGTAACTTGTGCATTTTTCTTTTGTGAAATTAATTTGAAGTGGGGTGTGTGCAAATTACATATAGCTTTAGATATTTTCAGGGGGGGTCTTCTTCAGAAAAACTGTTAATTTGTATGGTCCGACATCTTGAAAAAACAGATTTTTTTCCGGATCTGTTTGTAAACAGAACTTGAAGACAGATGAACATATAATAGTTGATAAAAGATGCAAATAGATATTTGTGTTGCTATATGAATCGATAAGGTAATAAATGTAATGTTATTAAATAAACAATTTGTAATCAGAAATAGTAAACAACTCAGTGATCAGTTGCATAAACAGTGTATAATTTCATACAGGACTGAATATGGAAATAAAGTGAAAACACTACTGTAACATCTTTAGCCAGAATTGTTTGGTAAACAAAAGTTCTTCTTTGACACCCAAATTTAACACAGTTTTAAGGGTTTTCATCAGCATTATTATCAACCATAAACGGTAATAAAAATCAACAAAATTAATCATTTTCAATGCATATTGTACATTTTATACATTTAATACTTTGGTTCAGTAATGAACTGGCTACATTAATTATCGAAATTGTAATAATCGATAATCATCATGGGATTTTAAATGGCAGACTGATCAATGTTCTAATATAAGCAATCATCTTGATCTACACTCCTTCACTCCGTACACTGCCTGACGTATAGCAGAGTGTACGGAGTGAACTGTAGATCAAGATATGGTTTTAATCAGATTGGGTCCAAAAAAGGCATGACATAATTTTTTTTTACAATTTACGTCTTTAAACGAGCATGCCTACTGGAACTGTCTCTCGCCATGTTTGGACTGATATGAATAGACTAAATTCAGAAACGACAAAATCTGGAAAATATAGTAGGTGTATTGTGACCTTCCAAAAAATATTGTGAATCGTACCGTATCACGATATATCGTCGCGCGATATTTCATTGCAGTCCTACTAACTTATGAAGTTGATTAACTCAATAACTATGATATCTTCCTTTTTTTGCAGGTAGTAACTGACTATGTTACGCCTCAACAGAAAGAGCTATCCAGAGACTTAGAGGCACGCATCAAACCCTACATCAGGTGAGTTGCTTCAAATTAACTCATTCACCCCTGAAATTTCATAATGAACTATTCCAGCCTTTGAATTGGAAGAGTTCAAATTTGTCTTCAGGGGTGAATGAGTTAAGGTGTACTTCAGAATAATGTGACCAGGTGAAAACTGTGCTTGGTGCCTTTGGCATGGTGTTTCATTGAGGTAGCACTCTAAAGTCGGCCTCAGATCCGTCCTATGACAAGGAGGCAAGTACACCAACATAATCTCTCCAACCCAGCTGGTACACATACATATGCACGCATACATAACTCGCATGAAGATGTGTCCTTATATGATCTTAGCTGTTAATAGGACGTTGAACAAGAATAATCAAGCAAACCAATCCTGTAGCCCACTGTAATTCCAGTAGCCGAATGTACTTCCTGTAGCCCACTTTACTTCCTGTAGTCCTCTGCACTTCCCTTGGCCCCTATACTTCCTGTTGCTCACTTACTTCCATGGCTAGTAGCCCACTTTGCTTCATGTATCATGTAGCCCACTGTACTTTCTTTAGTCCTCTGTATTTTCTGTGACCCCTATACTTCCTGTTGCCCACTTTACTCCCATGGCTAGTAGCCCACTGTAGCATATTGTATTTCATGTAGTCAAATGTATTTCCTGAAGCCTAGCCTCTACTGTAGTCAACTGTTCTTCTTACAGCCCCATGTAATTCCTTTAGTCCACTGTGCTTCATTTAGTCTACTGTTCTTCCTACAGCCCCATGTAATTCCTTTAGTCCACTGTGCTTCGTTTAGTCCACTGTTCTTCCTACAGCCCCATGTAATACCTTTAGTCCACTGTGCTTTGTTTAGTCCACTGTTCTTCCTATAGCCCAATGTTATTCCTTTAGTCCACTGTGCTTCATTTAGTCCACTGTGCTTTGTTTAGTCCACTGTGCTTCGTTTAGTCCACTGCTCTTCCTATAGCCCCATGTAATTCCTTTAGTCCACTGTGCTTCATTTAGTCCACTGTGCTTTGTTTAGTCTACTGTGCTTCGTTTAGTCCACTGCTCTTCCTATAGCCCCGTGTAATTCCTTTAGTCCACTGTGCTTCATTTAGTCCACTGTGCTTTGTTTAGTCTACTGTGCTTCGTTTAGTCCACTGCTCTTCCTATAGCCCCATGTAATTCCTTTAGTCCACTGTGCTTTGTTTAGTCCACTGTTCTTCCTATAGCCCAATGTACTTCCTTTAGTCCACTGTGCTTCATTTATTCCACTGTTCTTCCTATATCCCAATGTAATTCCTTTAGTCCACTGTGCTCATTTAGTCCACTGTTCTTCCTACAGCCCCTTGTAATTCCTTTAGTCCACTGTGCTTTGTTTAGTCCATTGTTCTTCCTACAGCCCCATGTAATTCCTTTAGTCCACTGTGCTTCGTTTAGTCCACTGTTCTTCCTATAGCCCAATGTTATTCCTTTAGTCCACTGTGCTTTGTTTAGTCCACTGTGCTTTGTTTAGTCCACTGTGCTTCGTCTAGTCCACTGTTCTTCCTATAGCCCAATGTAATTCCTTTAGTCCACTGTGCTTCGTTTAGTCCACTGTTCTTCCTACAGCCCCATGTACTTCCTGTAGTCCATCGTAGTTCCTTAAGCCCACTGTAGACCACCTTTGTTATAATTGGTATATTTTTCATTTCTTTTATGTGATTGTAATCATGCTTAAAGCTACAGTGCCTTTATGCCATCACATAAAGCTTGCAAGGCATGATAATAATGTAAACATGGCTTCAATCCTGTGAGATAAGTAGCAGTCGGGAAAAGTCTAAAAAGCATGCTTATACTTAACATAAATATAAGTTATTGGAATTTAAGATAATTTCATACCAATACGCTTCTAATATTTATGAAATGTCATTATTAAAATTCAATTTTAACCACAGTTTTTCCAACAGATTGTGGCATAGTAACTTGATATGTATTTTACTGCTAAAAATGAAGTGTGATTTTTGATGGTATTTCAGTTTCCTGAACCAGTGTCGGCTGATATCAGTTAGTATGGGCAATGCCATTAAATACCTAAAATGGAACATTTCACATATACCACGGGATAGCTCTGAAATTGAGGTGAGTCTTTTACACATTTCTGGTAAGCTTTGTATTGACCAATTTTCATTAGCTAACCAGCTACTTGATACTTGTACAGATGGGTATAATTTGATTGGGCTGAAGCCCTTTTGGAATATACTGTATACTGGGAAATTTTCACTTTTTTCGTCATCTGCAATGAGGGCAAATTTATCATCACAGCAAACATAAGTAAACAACATAATGTGTATAGTAATTAAAATGAAGGGCGAACTTAACACTGGGCAAATATGGATTTTAATGGTGGAGGGCGAAAATTTGACAGAGTGAAGTGTTCACAGTATACGGTATCCATATGCCAAATGCACTCTGAAACATCAGATGAACACATGTGTGGTATTGCCTATAGATTGTTTAATTCAATTTAATTCAATTTTTTTCTATTCAGGCAAAGAAAGCCTTAACCGAATGTATTGACAGATTTGTAAGAGAGAAAATTTTGCTTGCTGGGGATGGCATTTCTAAATATGTAAAGGATGAGAAGAAGATCGCTGATGGAGATGTTATAGTAGTGTTTGGGAGGTGAGTATTTTTCTTACCGTGTTTATCCTTCAATAAGCCCAGGGGGCCAACAAATAATGAAAAAGCTTTTGTTGGCATTTCATCCTAACAACAATATATAATGGTGGTCTTATTACCAAGCATGGGCTTATTGCCAGATAAATACGGTATTGCACATCGTTGCCGTTGGAGTCACTATGTTTTTTTGAATAATTTTCCATTTTAATAAAATATCCTACTGACTTTTATAGTTATATTTCTTACCCTACTTTTATCCCCCATGTGCCTAAATATTTTTCAAAACTATCTTGTTATTGTCGTTGCTTGGTATGATATCAATGTTTTTGTTAACATTTCTTTTGCTTTGGCATATAACATAAGTTGTCTCAGTCACCCCTACGTATCTTAACTGAACTTGCCCAGTCTTTGATTTGGTATAGTTCAAATGTGACTTTAGGGTGCAAGAATGGGTTAATGGCCACAGGAAAAAAAAAATCTTCAGATAACAAAACTTCATGTTTCCCTCTTACAAGGACAGTAATTGTTAAGATAACCATGTACATTTGTGTTTGGACCTCCAGCTCCTCACTGGTGAAGAAGGTATTATGTGATGCCCATAGAAGAATGATAAAGTTCGGAGTCATCGTTGTGGACGGTCAACCCAGAATGGAAGGTGATTATCTCTTTGTAATCTCCAAATCTAGGCAGAAGTCTTTTTCCGTATACTGTTATAATATTTATGAGTAGTCGGAGATCTAACGTACATGCCAAAAGGTCTGTAAAGGTCTGTAGAACCCAGCTGGCGGAATACACGAGTCCACCTGTAAAAATAGAGGTATCAATTTAAAAATATTTGTAAATTCCTTTTTTGCGTGTGCTTTTACTGCAATATATTTTGTATGTTAGGTAAAATTTGGAGATTCTTTGCTGTGAAAATTCTAGCCAACTCCTAATTACATTGTGTATATTGCATTAGTACAATAGTTGTATTGCAACTACTCAGGTTTTGTTTATAAGGTCGGAGGGTATTCTGAATTCTGTTGAATTCTTCCAAATGTGGTTTTCATCATCTGATCAATTGTTATAATAGTTATATTGGTCAATACAAATTCAGCGATGACCACCATGTTCAAATTAGCAGAGACATTTTTAGGTCACCTGCGACAAAGTCTCAAGTGACCTATTGTGATCGCCTTTTGTCGTGCGTCGTGCGTCCGTAAACAATTTAGATTTTCGACTTCTTCTCCAAAACCCCAGAACCAATTTCAATGAAATTTTGCAGAAACCTTCCATGGCCAAGGGTCAACCAAAATTGTGAATTATATGGTCTCCAGCCTCCAGGGACCTGAGGGGCGGGGTCAAAAAGGGTCAAATTGACTAAAATTTCAAAAATCTTCTTCTCAAGATCCAGATATGGTAGAATCAAATACTCCTCATAGATGGAAAGGTCTTAAGGTGCTTTACCATAATTCAGCTGACTGACAGAACCACTATTTTTACATAGTACATATACTACCCAGATCTATCACACTACTTTTGCATAATATGTAGTTCAAGTTACCTTTGTTACAAAATGATTTCTTATTGATTTGGCAACATCATCATGGGCCTCTGGTTAATTTTATTACACATTCATGATCTAATCTAATTATTTTGGCATTTTGCCAACACCAGAGAGTGATTGCATAGGTTGCTGAGACTTGGATAAGGAACGGCTATATATGGTGGCCAAGTGATTAAGGCTTCTTGCCGTCTACGATCACTAGCCCTCCACCACTGGGTTGTGGTGGCCAAGTGATTAAGGCTTCTTGCCGTCTACGATCACTAGCCCTCCACCACTGGATGGCAGGTTTGAGGATAATGTGGGGACGACACCAGGGCTCATATTCATGAAACCGTTTTCATGCTCAGGTAGCAGTGTACAGTAGAGGGTTGTGGCCATGGGTGATATTTTTGTTAAATGGCTAACCCCTGTATAATGATATGTAAAAAAATTATAAAAATAAAACTGTACTAAAATTGGTATAAGCATGATGAAGTGGGCTATGTGAGCTTCACATTTGTAAAAAAGAAAGAAGATTTCTTTGGTTCGAGAATAAAATTTTGGCCATAATACGAAAGGGTGCGTACACATGAAAAGCTAGCTTTACAGGAGGTAAAATTTTGACAACAGCACACGACGCAAAATTGCAAAAAATCAAGTTCTACAATTTTACTGCGACCCAGATAATTCTGCAACCAGGTAGGTAATCTTTAATTTCAGACAGAGCTTAGGAAAAAAATTACTACTTGCGGGGGTCAAATTTTGGGTTAAAAATAGCATTTTTTGGCATTTTTTGGTAATTTTTGATGTGGTAACCATGGTTTTCACACAAGTGACATACATAGAAAAAAGAGGTTTATACACTTCTCAGTGCTTTATATGTATTGTAAATGTAATGCAGTTTACAAATATATATACATGTATACATGTGTTGTGTAGGGTAAAACCGCTGTGTTTACATTTCCTCGACATGTGCCTTGTTTATCAGAGTCGGGCCATTTCTACTGTATTCTGCTACCATATACACATAGAACTTGATTTTTTCTGAAAAAATCCCTTTTTATGCTTGATTCAGCTTCACTTTCATTCATTAATACTTAAAACTACTCAAAAACGCCAAAAAACCCGTTACATAGATAGGTCTATATATAGGTCATTAGCCTGTTACCTGTGGATGTATAAAGAGAGGTAACTCGCGCTTTCACAGGCACTTGTGAAATTCTGCAATTCATCACATATGTGTCAATTATGTTATTGGTAAAGTTGATACCAAACATCAAATAGTTCACAGGCTATCTCCTGATGCATTCATACTAGATTTCAGTCTGTTTCACTCAGTTCAGCACCCGGTAGCCATGGTTACTAATACATAAAGTTGTATTTATTGAAAATGGGTAAAAATGGGTAAAATATCTGTTTTCATTTTAATTACACTATTTTAGATGTTTTTTTCCACTTGATTCAGCATACAGATGAAATAAGCAAAGTCAGTAATGTCAATAAATTTTATTTCCATAATTACAGCTGAAGAAAATCTTTTTTTTCTAGCGAAATATGTTAAATGAACAATTTCTGAGGGTCACTGTCAATTCTAGGCGAGGAAAGTAAATAACGGTTGCTATGGTGGCACTTGTCTGATTTCTCAGAATATCTTACATTTCTGTGCTGTTCATCGGTTACGGGAAGTGTGTCTGTTGCTAGTTTGTTGTTGAGATGGGTTTCCTAGTGTTCAATATTTTGATATCAGTGATCCTCGATGATGTCATAGATGCCCATTGATGACGTCATAGTTATGATGACATCACAGTTACTATGACGTCATCAAACAAGACAGTAACATCATAGTATCACTGTACTGTTTGTTTTCTACATGCACATGATCTCAAGGCATCATATTTCACCCAAAAAGAAATTTTATTCATGAAAACTACAAACCTATTCAAGTTTTCATTTTTCAGATTACCTCCCTTTGTTGGTAGTTTGAGAGCAGAATTGGTAAATACACTTTTCAGGAGAATTCATATTACTCGGTCACTATTAAAGTGAGAAAGGAAACGGATACATCATTGTGTTCATTGTCGCATTTTCCAGACATTTAAAAGGTTTTGATTAAATTTTGGGGAAAAAAAAGTGATGTATAAGGTAGCAGAGTACAGTAGAGGGTTGTGGCCATGGGTGATATTTTTGTTAAATGGCTAACCCCTGTATAATGATATGTAAAAAAAATATAAAAATAAAACTGTACTAAAATTGGTATAAGCATGATGAAGTGGGCTATGTGAGCTTCACATTTGTAAAAAAGAAAGAAGATTTCTTTGGTTCGAGAATAAAATTTTGGCCATAATACGAAAGGGTGCGTACACATGAAAAGCTAGCTTTACAGGAGGTAAAATTTTGACAACAGCACACGACGCAAAATTGCAAAAAATCAAGTTCTACAATTTTACTGCGACCCAGATAATTCTGCAACCAGGTAGGTAATCTTTAATTTCAGACAGAGCTTAGGAAAAAAATTACTACTTGCGGGGGTCAAATTTTGGGTTAAAAATAGCATTTTTTGGCATTTTTTGGTAATTTCTGATGTGGTAACCATGGTTTTCACACAAGTGACATACATAGAAAAAAGAGGTTTATACACTTCTCAGTGCTTTATATGTATTGTAAATGTAATGCAGTTTACAAATATATATACATGTATACATGTGTTGTGTAGGGTAAATCCGCTGTGTTTACATTTCCTCGACATGTGCCTTGTTTATCAGAGTCGGGCCATTTCTACTGTATTCTGCTACCTCAAGCATGGATACTGTGCTCAAACCATCTTTTTTGTGACTCACTTAAATCAGGTGACACAATCAAAATGTCAATTGTAGACATCTTAAATGGTGTTTGTCTTACTTAGGCAACAAAGTTAGGGGGTATACTGGAATCATTCTGTCTGTCTGTAAACAAAATTTGTACCTCCTACTCCTCCTCGGTTTATGCATGGATTTTGATGAAACTTTACACAGATGATATACCTCATATGAACTTGTGTCTCCCAGAACGCCATTATATTCCTTCAATATTTAACGGAGTTATAGCCCTTGACTTCTGTAGACGGTACATTAAGTTACTGAAATGGCTAATTATCTCGGAAACGGTAGGTATTTTGTTAACACATATACATTGGAATGTTGTAGGCATTAATGAAAGCTACGATCTTCTGACAAACTTCTGAGGTCATAGGGTCAAAGGTCACAAATGAATTATGTTCTGAAATCAAATGGCTAAATATCTCAGAAACAGTAGGTAGTTTGTAGACACATATACATTGAAATATTGTAGGCAATAATGCAATCTACTCTACTGACAGCTTCCGAGGTCGTGGGGTCAGAGGTCACAAATTAATTAATTACTGAAATGGCTAATTGTCTTGGAAACAGTACATATTTTGTATACACATATACATTACAGTATCGTAGCCAATTATTCAGGCTATATTGTGACAAACTTCCAAATTCATGGAAGTCATGTGCTAAGGTCATGGGGTCAAAGGTCACAGATGCATTATGTTACTGAAATGGCTAACTATCGCAGAAATGGTAGGTATTTTGTATACACATACCTTGGAGTATATGTACATGTAGCATTGGTGCAAGTTACATTGTGACAAAAGTCTGAGGTTATTGAGTCAAAAGTCACAGTAGTGGTGTTTGTCTTTTCCATCTTTCTGTAGGTACGACATATTCAGACTTTTTCATGACCCTTGATCTTTCTATATATGTTTTCCCTTGTTTATTTAGCCCCTTCAGGGACAACAAGCAGCCGCAATGCAGGGGGTATTGGTTAGCCCATATCCCTGACAAAATGTGAAAAATTGGGCTTGAGCACAGAATCTGAGTTGGGAGCATGAAAATGGTTTCATATGATAAATGTATACTGACCCAGAAACAGGCCACAGGTTGGTCAAGGTTTTTCTCTTGGTTTCCGGCTTTCCTCCAACACCAAAACCATCAGTTCAACTTGTTTGTCTGTTTTATATGTAACAGTTTCATGTATAAATCCTGACAAACCTGCAAATGTTTATGCAGGGCTTTGTCAAGGCTTCCATGATTACAAGGTTTGACCTTATTTCATATGCAAACAACTCTGCTCCAACTGGTTTAAACGTTTGGATTACGATAAACAAATGTGGCCCTGGCTCACCCTTAAATGACCAAAGCTGTAAATAGGGCCTAACTTACCAAACCAAAGTGTTCAGAGATCAATACTGGTGCAGGTCCTGTGGCCCCAGACTGGTAGAACCTTGATGATGTTCATAACAGTAGTCTGTCGGCCATCAAAATAAAGAAAACCTTGGTCCAGGAGGCATGGTAGTCTAGTGGCAGCACACCGGCTCGTGACCGAAGGGTTGTGGGTTCGGGTCATGTCACAGCACTCTCTTGTATCTTTAAACAAAATACTTTAGTACGCATCAGCTGTAAATGAGTATGTGGTTGGGCAGTGCTAGTATTGTTGAATGCTAGCTGTGAGCGCCAAAATGGCAGCTCCGGCTGTATATGCTCCCCATGCGGCCAGCTGGGAGTTGAGAAAGATATTTGCTGTTCGCAAAGGCCGTATAACCACGGATAATAATTTGTGAACAGCTTTGAGATGACCTACAAACTAGGCTGTGATAAAGCGGTATATAAGAACCTCAAATTATTATTATTATCTATAAATAAACATGTGGCGATATCAATATTTGAGTAACCTATTTTTGTACTGTTGCAGGCCGAGAGATGTTAAGAAAACTTGTAAGGTGTGGCATCAAGTGTTCCTATGTTCTGATGAATGCAGCGTCCTACGTAATGCAAGAGGTAGAGAAATTTATACTAGCCTCCGTGATACGATTTCATCGACCGACTTTACTAATTTGTTCACATGTATTTGTGGTGATTTATACAGATTTAAAAGTTACCAAGCAACTGTCTCGGATACAGAGTATCTTAAAATTAATTTTTCGAAAACAGGATAAACGAATAGGTTATTTTTAACACATTGCAGGCACATACAACATTGTTTTTACTGTCTAAATTCTACAAAAGGCTGTTACTGTAATTGGCAATATGAGAAGGTATTCTTTTTTCTTCAAATTTTTGCAAGGGGAAACAGGTTGTATTTGACTTAAACAATTAAGGCAAAATAAATCCCTGATTATATACTGTCTATGAATGTGTGATTTCTTTTGACAGGCGACCAAGGTGTTTCTAGGCGCTCATGCGTTGTTAGCCAACGGATGTGTCATGTCCCGAGTAGGCTCTTCGCTTATAGCTCTCATCGCTAAGTCATATAACATACCAGTTCTCGTCTGTTGTGAGACCTACAAGTTCTGCGAGAGGGGACAAACCGACTCTTTTGTATTCAATGAACTCGGTAAGTGCCCTTCATTTGTTGAGTTTTTATGTCCTCACAGCAGCAAAACATAAAATGAAACTTGGATTCACAGATGCCTGACTGAGCTAGTCTAAACTAACCAAAATGCTGACAGAAAGTAATTTGCATTAATTTTGTATAAAATTAGGTCAACTCAAGTGTACATTTCAAGATACGTTCTATGATCAGTAGATGTGTGAAGGAAGGACATATTATTCTTGATATATATACTGCTATTTATTCTCTGATACTGTGCACATTTTTTAGCTCTGCCTTCAGTTTGGTCAAAGTGCTTCTGTTTATCGAGGATTATTTCTGCACCTGAACAGTTTCAACCGGGATATGCAAATGCGACCATAAAGACCATTTAAGAATACCCGTCCCAATGCAGGCAAAAAACTAGAGAATCTATTTTGTGATTTTTCGTATACATTGTGTACAATAAATTCCCCTTAATATGATTTTGGATATAACTGTAGCCCATTTGTGCCAGAACACTTTCATTTACCAATAAACTCAGTTGATCAGGGCGACAGTATAACCTCCAAGATCCAGGCTTCGAATCATTAAATGGTTTAAGAAGTATGCATTTTTATACCAATTTAAAAAGAATTGCTCAGAGGTACGGTATGTTAATATATATGCATTTTACCGGAACTATTTTTAATGCATTTAAGGATCCCCGTACCCTGCTAATCAAAAAGAGTTGGTATTTTTGTTTTCCTGCATAAACTTGTCTTTGATAAATCATTTCTGAAAAGAAAACCATACCTTGCTGGACGTTCAAACACACACGTTCATCAACAGTGTTCCGAGCCCCGGAATACAGATTGATATTCCATCGCCCTAACCAACTGAGCTACCTGGTCAACGAAAGTGTCGTGGTCCAAATGTGCTACAGTTCTTTCCAAACAGAAGTTAAGGGGTGCAGTGGGACAGTGATCCTTAATGAAACAGAAAACTTTTGTTAAATTGACTATGAACATGACGAGAAGATAATGATTTTAAGTCTTATGTTCTGTACAGGTGACCCTGAAGATCTGGTGATGGTGATAATGATTTTAAGTCTTATGTTCTGTACAGGTGACCCTGAAGATCTGGTTTCCATCGGTAACAAGACTCAATACCTGACACAGTGGCGAGATCACGCGTCCTTGACCTTGCTTAACCTCGTGTATGATGTTATGCCGCAGGAATTTGTTTCTTTAGTGATTACAGAGCTCGGACTCATTCCTTGTACATCTGTGCCAGTAGTTCTTAGGATGCAGCAAATAGAGACCAATGAAACTTGAGGACACAAAACTCTCCCAGCCAATCAAATGTGATATAACAACATTGACCTGACTCTGTCATTTTTAGCTCACCTGGCCCAAAGGTCCAAGTGAGCTTATGCCGTGGTGCGGCGTTCGTCTGTCGTCCAGCTTCAATATTTTCAGGTCACAGGGGTCAATTGTCTTAAACAATCTTAAAATAACCTCTTCTGAATAACCAAAATGCCCAGGGTGATGATAGTTTACCAGTAGCATGCTGAGATTAATAGCTACCAATTTAGTTAAAATGAATGACCTTCACTTATATTCAAGGATCAAATATGTTCAAAATCTTTAAACGACTTCCTTCTTAATAACTTAAAGGCAAAAGGTGTTGATATTTGGCCAGTAGCATGCTAGGATAAATGGCAACCTAGTTTGTTCAAATAAATGACCTTCACCAATTTTCAAGGTCACAGGGGTCAAATATGTCAAAATCTTTAAACAACTTCTACTGAATAACCAACATGCCCTGGGTGATGAAATTTGACCAGTAGCATGCTGAGATGAAGGGCTACCATGTTTGTTCAAATGAATGACCTTCACCCATATTCAAGGTCACAGTGGTCAAATATGTTTGAAACTTTGAGATGACTTCTGAATAATAAAAAGTCGCAGGATGATGATATTTGGCCCATAACAAGATGGGATGAAGGGCTACCAAGTTTGTTCAAATAAATGACTTTGAATAATATCAAGATCACTGGGGTCAAATATGTTAAAATCTTTAAACAACTTCTGAGGAATAACTAAGGCCTAGAATGTTGATATCTGGTCAGTATTATGCTGGGATCAAGGGCTACCAAACTTGTTAAATTGAATGACCTGGACTTATATTAAAGGTCACAGGGGTCAAATTTGTTTCAAATCTTGAAACGACTTCTGAATAACCATGAGTCCCAGAATGTTGATATTTAGCCAGTAGCATGCTTTGATGAAGGGCTATCAGGCACTGATATTTTGCCTATAGCTGTATTTTAGTCCACTTTTAAGATTACAAGTGTGATATTATACCAGGTGAGCGATGCGGGCCACATGGGCCGCTTGTTTATTAGAATCACAACACTTGAAGTTGACTTCCACCATTTATCCAGCGAAACTTTTGCATTTTAACTCATTCACCTCTGAAGACACATTTGAAATCTTCCAATTCAAAGGTTGGAATAGTTCATTATAAAATTTCAGGTGTGAATGATTTAAGTTACTCATAGAACGAAACTTAACGTTATATATGAAATTGTGCTACACAAGTAATTATATATTGTGGCATCAATTTGTTCCGATACAATTTGTGAATCGATATATAAATACTTCATTATAAATATCAATAGTTTACGATAACTTATGAATTTGGATTTGCTCACATGTGCTGGCTTTACATGTATAAATGACTTGATGGTTAATGTGTTTTAAGTGTTTGTTCCATTCTTTAATTTTTTAGCTGTATTTTTCATAAACTCAGACAACACCTTGTCATCCGAAAGCAAGATAAATTTTTTTCAAGCAATGATGTCATATTACTTGTCATCATTTCTTTAGTAGTATTTTTGATATTCAACCTGTTTATACAAAATTGAATCCCCATTTCCTAAGAATGTTCCTGACCAAATTTAGTCAAAATCTACTGAACGGTTCAGGACTAGTAGCATTTTAAAGGAACGGTTGACACACAGATGCACACCGCACCATGACATAACTATAGTGAAATAAACAAAGTTTATATATCATCATTTATTACATACTTACTTATAAATACGGGTTTTTTGTTTATGCGATACGACACAATTGCTCTTACCCATATCAGCCCTCGACGTATCATACCCCAAAAGCTGTATCAGCCCCCGCCGTATCACACCCCAAAACCTGTATCAGCTCGCAAAACCCGTATCACATGTACACCCCTTTTGATTTTTTTTCATTTTTCAATATTTCAAAAGAAAAATGGATCATAAGATAGCAGCTTTTATTAGTAAGTATATAATAAACAGAATAAAACATGCCTTTTTCAATATCACACCCAGTATCAACCCTTGACCAATATCAGCCCTCGGGCCTTCGGCCCTTGGGCTGATATTGCAGTCTCGGGTTGATACTGGGTGTGATATAGAAAAAGGCAAGTTTTGTTCTCTATATATTTTCATCATATTTGATATTATAACAGACAAGAGATCCCAGAGGGATCTTGGCGCCCACCTTTGTACCATCTTCATTAGTTCTTTGTCAGTTCGATCTTTTCTCTTCTTTCCTCTAATCTGTTTGATCGAGTCATGTTAACAGTAAATGCACCTTGAGGTAACTTTTGATCTAAACTTAATACTGATGTGTATGAAAGCCAACCTTCAAGGTGAGTTTGTCATTTCACATATTTACTAGTACAGTACTTAATGTGAAAGAAATAGAATCGATCATTGCAATATGAGAAAGATCTGTT